GTTTTCTTTTTACCTTTCACCTTTTTTGTTTTTAATTTGCTTAATTAGAAGAATTTCTCAACAAAAGAAATTGGTAAATCAATTTTTGAAGAAAAATATCAATGTCAGTGTATATGATAAAAACACTTGTTATCAATGGATTTTAGTTCATCTGAATTCAATAGATGTATTTTTTGTAAAAAAAATTGAGATTAAATCGAATTTTTTTTTAATTCAAGTCAAGTTGAATATGAGTTTAAGGTTTTTTGTCTTGCTCGTATATATATAAATATATGTTTTACTGTTTCATTTAATTTTATATTTATTTATCAATATAATTATTATTTAATGTCCTAATTTAATGAATTTACATGTCATCCTCTTTTGTCTTCCTTTTATTTACTTTTTTTGTCATTTCTTTTTTTTAAAAAAAGAAAATTGCCTTTTTTTTTTCTAACTTAGATCAATTTTGTATAAAAAAAAAGTTAATAAATGTAGGGATGACAAAATAGTTCATATTATGGATATCTATTTAGCTTGATCCAATATCTTTTTTTTTTTTTAAATTAGGGATCGGATTGATGTATTCTCTTTTTTTAAATTGGGCCTAGATCAAATGAGTTTAGGATCTTTTATCATGCTTTAAGTATATATATAATATAATATTTTTAATTTTTAATTTTATTTTATATTTATATATTATTATATTAATAAAGTTATTATTTAATATCTTTTGTTAATACAAATATAATATATATACATAATTAAGATTTAATTCATCTGTGCATACAACCATCTTATAAATAAACCATATATATGTACGAATATATGCTGTGTGTTGTATCTCATTCACATTATTTTTGTTTTTTAGGCTGACATGTATAATCTCTTTAATTTTTTTTTTAAAAATCTCTTTTTTGAATAAAACTTGGATTCATTAAATAGAGATACAACTCTCTTGTACTATAATATCATAAAGCTTATCATGAAATCCATCAACTAGATAAGGTTTTCCTTTCTAGCTATGGTCGTCTTTGCTAGCCTACAAGCCACCTTGTTGCCTCTCTGTGCACATGAGAGATTTTCCACTTAGTGAACCTAGATAGCTCTATTTTGTCATCCTTCACTAAGTTTCATATCACAGATAGCTTTGGTACCATTTTTTGTTTAAATTGTAAAGTTACCATAAGTGTATCACCCTCCATGATCACCCTCTACATTCCTAAGTTTCTTGTAAACTTTGTTGCTTTAGCCAACGCCATGCCTTTAATGACCTCTGGCTCTTTGATGCCATTCATGCTCATACATAATGCTGCTTTTACCATGCCCAAATGGTTTCTTATGACAGCTTCAATTCTTGCTCTATTGTTCTTTCTTTCAAAGGCCCCATCAAAATTAACTTTTAATTATCCTTTCATAGGTGCTTTCTATTTATCTACCACTTTTCCTACCATTGCCATCTCTTTTTTTTGAGCTCTATTGTACTCTAACAAGAATTGGTATACAAATGTCACTGTGGCCTGGCTATTTTGATTATATTACTCTTGAGTTTATCATTTTTAGCCCCCAATAATGCCTAGCACATCGTTGCAAATCTACCCAACTCATCTTCATTTAGTTCATTTGTCACCCAAGCTAGCCATTATCTAACAATCCTTATCTACCTATCTTGCCAGTCTTCATTTGGGTATGCAAGCCTTTAGCTTTCTTTCACATGTATACAATCCCTTATAGCATACATTGTTGTCTTGTTTTCCTTGTTGCATCTTGGATATTGCGCATTTTCTATAATTTTTTCCTTTATAATGTTCTATATACTAGTAAGATATCATTCCACATCATTTATAGAAAGATTATAATTTTAGCAAGTATTGATAGTCGTCAACCCGCTTCTAGAACAGATTCATAATACTATTGCCCATGCCTTCATTATCTTTTTCCTCCTGGCTTATATTTATTTCATTCAAGACCAGTCTATGATATCTATTTTTTACAAAATATACTCCACTCTTGCAGTAGTCCCAAACCAAAGCATCTTGTTGGCCACTCAAACTAATGGGTTTAGCTTTATTCTCTTTTGCCATATCCTCATGGAACATATTATCCAACTTTTCATTATTCCATTGTACCTCATTTGCATGGAACAAATCCTTCACCATTCCATCACTTGGTATGTGGTTTGTTTGAGGAGTGGGATTAAAGTTGCACATTATTAGGATCCACTTATCATGCCAAATCTTAATTCATTCCTTATTTCCCACATGCCACCTCAAGCAAAGGTTTAGGACAACAATTCCTTGCCAAATGCTTTTTCTAGTATAAGAAGGTGCTCTCCTCAATTTTGCATCAAGAAAATTAGTTCTAAGGAAATAATTCATTTTAGCACCTTGTGAACAAGCGAGGAAGGATTTTGCATTAGTCTTCATCCTTGTTTCATAATAAGGCCTTATTGAACAAATGTTTCTAAAACCCATTCCACATTTTTCCTTATTTGTACATAATTTCCTCCAACTTATCTAGCAGATTCCCCTATTTTTTCCATGGAGTGCCGCCACTAAAACTTGCTAATAATCATGTTGATCTCATGGCATAGGTTCTTCAAGAACAAAAAGCAAGACATAGCATATGCAGACTTAGATTATGGAACTACTTTAATAATCATTTCTTTTCTTCCAGCTGATAGCCATTTGTGACTTCAATGTTTTATTTTCCTATTTATTTTCTCTAAAATCTTAATGAAAGCCCTTTTTTTCCTTCTTCTAATTAACATAGGTAGCACCAGATACCTTTCCGAATTAAAAGTGGATTGGATCCTAAACAACCTTTTTGTCATTTTGATTGCGTCTTCACTTGTATTTTCGTTGAAAAAAAAACTTGATTTGTCGTAATTGATCTGTTGCTCAAAACTTTTCTTATGCACTCTAAGCATGTCCCTTACCATATTGCATTCCCTTTGCTTTGCCTTAAAGAAAAATAAGCTGTCATATGCAAAAAAAAAAAAAAAAGTAAGTTTCATTTTTTTTAAGAGGTGAAACTCACCTTTAAAATTTTTTTTCGTTAAGGCACATCTTTATGGTTTTTACATATGGAACCTAGATTTTTTTTGTGGGACCCATTTCGATAATTTTTTATTTTATTTATTTTAAATTTTTATGTATTTTATTAGAATTTTTTTTGTAATATGATCCATTTTTTTCAACTTTTTTTCATTGAACATTTTTTTTTTAATTTTTTCTTTGGTATCACATGTAATTTTTTATTTTTTAAAACATTTCATAAATATCTTTTATTTTTTTAATCAACTTGATATCAAATTTTATTTTATTTTTCTCTTTTTTAAGAAGATACGATAAATTTTTAATAATTTTTTTTATCTTTTTGATATCAAATGTATGTCATGTGTTTTTTGTCAATATTTATCTTTTTTTTTTCTTTTTTTATATATTTAATAAATAAAATTTTAAATTTAAATTTTTATGACTGATTTGATCTTAAAGGTAAATTGCATGCTAAGTTATTTGATTTTTTTCTCTTTTTTTTATTTACTTGTTTATTTAATAAAAAATTGAAATATTTTTTAAAAATTTAAGAATCATTTGATATTATTATTAAAATATATTTTTTATTTTATTTTTTTTAAAAAAGATATTACTAATATGCTGACATCACGTCCAAATTTGATCTTTTTCGTTCTTCTTTTAGATTTAATTATTTTATGTTTAGGGACTTACTTAATATTAACTGTATGCCATGTTTCTTTTTGTTTTTTTCTATTATTTTTCATTTTATATTTAATAAATATTTTAATAAATTTAAATTTTTTGTGTGACCCCTTTATGCTAAGTTTATATCATATATCCAATCATTCGCTTTTTTTATTTTTTTATTTTTTTCAAAATTTTTTAATATCTAATGAAAAATTTTAAATATTTTAAAATTTCTAAAGAATTAGGGTCCTTTTAATATTATTGATTTAATATATATTCTTTTTTATTTAATAATTTAAAAAGTATTATGAAAGTTTGTCATTACATCGAGATTTATTTTGGTTTCTATTTTTAAACTTTTTAAAAAATCCTTGATATAACTTTATTTTTACTATTTCATTTAATTATATATATGTATTATATTAATAAGATCATTATTTAATATCTTAATTTAATAAATTTATTTTATTTATTTGTTTTTATTTTGTATTAAATTAATTTTAACAGAAAAGGAAGACTGATTGAAGTGTCCACATCGCAACTTCATTTAACTTTTTTTCTTTCATTTTTTATTTTTCAATTGGATAAATTTTACAAGAAACGTGTAGATTGATGGAAATGTCAAAATAATTTGCATTTGATAGGTTTGATTCATCCTTATTAGATAGGGAGTGATTTTTGGATCAAGGTCAAGTTAGAGCATGTTACTTTTTTTTTTTTAAAGAAAAAGGATATCGGGATAGAGGCATGTTTAAGGTGTTTTGTCCCAATAAATTTTGAAGTACATATTAAAATATACATTTTATTAGTAATTTTGTTCTATATATATTATATTAATAAAGTAATTATTTGATACTTTAATTTAAAAAATTAATATTTTAAACTTAATAAAATTTTTTTTTATTTATTTGCTTTTTTTCTTTTTATTTTTTTAAATTAGATAATTTTCGTAAAAAAAAAAAATCAATGAAATAATCATATATCACCTCCATTTGTTTTTTTGGTTAACTTTCGTTTTTTGTTCTTAAATTAGGTGAATTTTACAATAAAAAAAACTAATTAAATAGATATGATAAAAAAAATTTTGATCCTAGACTACACATGGTTGTGTCGCTACTTATTATTAAGATTACAGTAGGACTGTGAAGTAAACTTTGAATAAATCCATAGACAAAATAATTAAAGGCATCAAAGTCTCTAGAACAAGGAAGATGTATTGAGTACTGCTCAGCTGCTCTCCACTAGAATCTTCCCTATTCTTCTACAAAACACATCACTAGAATTTTCAAGAACTCAACTTAATTCCCTTCTTTTTCTTGTATATATACAGTTGCGGTGCATTAGAATTTATCATTGTCCTTGCCTGTCTTCAAGTCATCAGTCCCAAAATCCCAATCCAAGCAAGATAAAAAAAAAAAAAAATCTGATCTGTATATATATAATGACGCAACAACTCGATTTCTTGCGGCTGCAGCTGTTGCTCTTGCTGTGTTATGCTGCCTTATCCAATGGGTCTTTGCTGCCATTTATGGATCATCCAGGTAGTGGCAATCTGTTATTGCCTGATCCGTTCCGAGTGCTAGAGCAAATCCCACTTGCCCTGGAGAGGGACGAGAGCTTGGCACTGTCTCCAGCCAGGGTAGACTGGAAGGAAACACCCGAGGGGCATGTGATAAGGATAGATGTGCCCGGGTTGAAGAAGGAAGAGCTCAACATTGAAGTGGAGGGAAACCGAGTGCTGAGAGTGAGCGGGGAGAGGAAGAGAGAGGAAGAGGAGAAGGGTGATCATTGGCACAGGGTGGAGCGATCGTTTGGCAAGTTTTGGAGACAGCTTAGGTTGCCTGACAATGTGGACTTGGACAGTGCTAAGGCAAAGCTGGAAGATGGTGTGCTTACTTTGTCCTTAGCCAAGCTGTCTCCTGACAAGATTAAGGGTCCAAGGGTAGTGAACATTGCTGGAGGGGAGGCTCATGAACCTGCCAAACTCAAGGATAACGCAGCCAAGCAGGAGCTTTAGATGCTTTTCATAGCTTTCACGGCGTTTTTCCAGCCATAGTTAATGTTGATAGAGACGATCTTTTGCCTGGAAAATAGGCTGTATCTGTGTGTTTCATGTAAACCTGAGTTTCACAACTACTAGTACTAATAATAATGTAACGTGCGAGACGACTGCAACTGGAACTGGATTTTCATGAAGCTACTATGTGCTTGTTGTAATTAACGAATTCCCTCTTTTCACATGGACTATTATTAGCGACTCAAATTAGGTTGTGTTCATAGTTTTAGTTAAATTATATTTATTGAGGTTACGAATATAATAAAAATTATTGCGATCATAAATTTATTTTTTAATTTTATATAATTTATTATAAAATAATAATAATTATTATAAAAAATTTTATTTTATAATTTTTAAAATAATATTGTACATTTCATATTTTTATTTTTTGAAAAAAGTTTACAATTGTTTTAAGATTATATCAATATATTCATAGAGTAAAAATAAACTCGAATTTTCTTTTTAAAAATTTATATAAATTCGTAATGGAGGATAAATAAAAGATAAGAGTAATAATTGTGTACATATATTATAAATATAAATAAATTATAAGTATGCATTACATCGTTACAATTTAAATGACATTCTAAATTCAAACCTAGTCTTCCAAATTCATGTATCAAAGCATCAAATCAGTTCATCAAAAGAAAAAAAAAGGGGCAAATTTTTTACATCTAGCCTTCGAAGCCACATGAGACTCTGCCACGGCGTAAGATGATCAAATAAGCTGACCAAGCGGACCAAAACATTTCCGTTTCCATGGACAAGCAAAAGTAGTCTCTTTTGAAGCAAAGAGCCAAAGGCGAAGTAAAATAAAAATATAACCCTCATTTTTGTCTTAAAATTTCTTCTCAAGTAAGATTCGAAACTTGAAAAACTCGAAAAGAAAGGAAAAAAAAAAAGAAAATAAAAAACAGATAATTATTGGAAACGAAATTTTAGGTTTCCCTCTTTTTTCGGCTTTGATAAAAATGAACTCCATCAACCGCAACAATGGAGAAAGCAACAACGGGAAGAGCAGCATTTTCGATGGATTAAAGCAAGATCTGGATTTATACTTCTTGGGGCTGTCTCGGCTCGGCTCGTCTAAGGCTCTTACAGATAAGGAGGAGGATGAGGAGGAGGCTCCGAAAGAGCTCAACACGATCAATAGCTCGGGAGGGTTCTTGGTGGTGGCGCCTGATAAGTTGTCGGTGAAGTATACCAGTGTTAACCTCCATGGCCACGACGTCGGTGTGGTTCAAGCCAATAAGCCGGCTCCAGTGAAGCGTCTGCTTTATTACTTTGAGATATATGTGAAGGACGCTGGGGCTAAGGGCCAGATTGCTATTGGATTCACTAATGAAGGCTTCAAGATGCGGAGACAGCCCGGGTAATATAGCGGCTTTTTTTTTTTAGTGGAACAATGTTGTTGATGAAAAGGAGTTTTGATTGAATTGCTTGGTGGTTATTATAGTTCAAAGAGTTTTGTTTGTTAATTTAAATTGGTTTGCATTTGGTTGATGAAAGATAAAGAAAAGGAAAATAGTGGAAATGACGAAAAGAGAAGAAGAAGAAGAAGAAGAAAATGTTTTTCAATTGGTTAATTATTGAGCAAGAGAGGAAAAGAAAAGCAAGGATAGAGTGAGAATTTATTTTCTTTTGCTTCTGATTCTTTTTACTTTTGGTCTGCTAAGTTGCGGGAAAAGTAAATAAATGTGGGGAGAAAATGTTTTTACTACTTTATGCTTATGTTTATTATGGTGTAACTTATTAACCATTACATTTTACCACTTGTGTTTTTATTTTTCTTTTCCCATTTTCTTGTTGTAATTTAACAGCATGCATGATTGTGCATAGTTGCTTGAGAATGGAAGAAAATGTGTAAAAAGTTTAAATCCAGGGTAGTGTCTTGTTTCTTTCCCTTTTGATTCACACTGGTTTTTTTGAGTCTGGAAAATGAGGGAAAAGAAAGAGAAGGAAAAGGGAATGGAGTTCTCTTAGTAAGTGAGCATATGTTAATCATATTTCAAAAAGGAAAAAGGAATTTATTTGAAGTGAAAGTCCTGTACTTCGCTGTAGGAAGAAAAAGAAATGATCCTGTATGGATGGGTTTCTGCTTTTCTTCATTCAGTTCAATTTTGTTTTTGTCATGTTTTGAGGACAGGTTCTGGATATTGAGAGAAATGAAGAAAGAAGAGTTAACACCGCCTATGACAGAGTAGGAAGAAAACAAAGAAAGGAGAATTTTTTTTCTTTTAACGTTGCCAGTGGCACAAGCTTTTCTAAGAGAGAAAGAGATATAATTAGGATGACAGCTTTTAATTAGGTTGCTTGATTGGGATTTGGCAATTTTCTGAGAAATTGTAGGAAAATCAGAAAGATTTTATTTGTCTTAACTTCTTATATGTACATATTGAAGTATTCTTCTAAACTGTCACAGATGGGAAGTAAACAGTTGTGGGTATCATGGGGATGATGGATTGCTATACCGTGGACAAGGAAAGGGAGATGCTTTTGGTCCAACATATACAAAAGGAGATATGGTTGGTGGTGGCATAAACTATGCTTCACAGGAATTCTTTTTCACGTAAGACATAGTTTTCTATCGTTTTCTGTAGATAGGAGCACTTGTGCTTTGAGCATATCTGTTGCTTGAATGTAAAGCTCTATTCATTTCTGAAGATTCTTATGATTTTGTATGCTCTTTATGTTGATGCCAGTAAAAATGGGGCAATAGTAGGAACGGTTTGCAAGGAAAAGGAAATGAAGGGTCGCTTATTTCCTACAATTGCTGTTCACAGCCAAAATGAGGAGTATTTTTACCTTCTGTTTTGTGTATTTATATGAATTCTTTCATTTATTTGTTGTAATAAGGCACCTGCATTTGCATTTATTGAAGGATAGGAATAATGGAGATATCATTTTTCTCTATTCTGACCTCTCTGGTTGTAGTTAATTGTGTTTGTTGTTATTCTGCTGCATGATACATTGAGGTTTCTCTTCAACGAATGAGCAGGGACATGTTAGTTATGACACTTTTGTTTCTGGCATCGTCCAAAGTAGTGTCTGGCCTAGTAAAACTACTTTGAGGGGTAAATTAAGCTAAAAATTGGTCTTAGAGTTGGGAAAAGATAGTTATTTCTTTCTAGAGACTTGAATGTAGTTATTTTTTGCTTGAGGCTATTCAAGCTTATTTCATGACAGTGAGGGTGCAAAAGTCAGTTGCAAACCATATAGGTTTAAGCTGAGTTGAAATAAATTCAGAGCTGAATTTGAGCTTGAATGTGGCTTGATTATCGAGCTGAAATTGAGCAATTGGTTTCTGGTCTCTGCTCAGCTTGTTTATCCTTGGGTCAGTAGTGCACTATGTTTTAATTTATCAAATATAGCTGAGATGTCCATGATCCAATGGCAGTTGAGTTGGATTTTCTAGTTCCTACTTGGTTAGCAATGGAACTGGGTTTGTACAAAGCATCATAAAAGATGGTTGGAATATAAATAGATAGTGTAAATTGCTAAAGCCCTGCATACTTACAATCTCCTTTGAAGTTTTCCTGCAGATTTCTCCTCGATACCTGCCAAAGATATAGAAAGTTGATTGCTACTAAAAATGGCATCTTGAGATTTTGTGATTAGGGAATGTTATAATTAGTCTATATCAACAAGGGGAAATTTTGTGATTAACCCAAAAGTGGTAGAAGCATGGGTTGTGATTATGATCTTTATATTTGAAAATGATGCCTGTTGTAATTCTATTAGTTTTAAAAATCAGATGAGCTCTTCTCGTTCATCATGTGTGAGTAGATTGTCCTTTCTGGTGATCGGCGATCCTTGCCTTGGTTATTAAAAGCACCTAAAATGCAATTATGACATCTTATCTACTTTGATTTTTCCTTACTAATTGCGCCAATAGTCATTATACAGTTCCATCACAATGCAAGTAGTTATTGTTAATGTGGTAATGATTTTGAATTGTTCTGATGAGTGTTTTTATTTCAAAATGAACAGGGTTCATGTCAACTTTGGGCAAAAGAAGTTTGCTTTTGATCTGAAGGCAAGTTATGCTTCTTTATTTTGCATCTTGCTTTATTTTCCTTCAATGTATGCTAACCTTAGTTTCTGTATACCTTGGTTCTCTCAGTCTTGTCATATTAAGTGATTTCGTAAGGTCTCTTGTTTGTATCTTCCTATTTACTATATTTGATACCATATTATCAGGAATATGAAGCTCAAGAGAGGTTGAAGCAGCAGATGACTATTGAAAAGATATCTCTACCACCAAATATTAGTTATGGGTAAAATTTTCTTTTGCTACTAAAATGTATTTTTTGCTCTGTGGTTTTACATGTCTGTCCAATGGGATTACCTTTTGGATGATTTGATGTTTGTGGTTAAAGAAGTATCTGAAATCTTTAAATCTAAGCTACTGCTTTTATAATGTAATAATTGCTGTAAAATAGAAGCTTGTAGTTTAGGCAATGGTGATAATACGAATTACATGCTATTGATTCCTGATAATAGTTCTGTCTATCTTCCATCTTGTTCTACATCTTGGGTGAAAGAAGGCATTAAAAACTCTGAAAAGGTTTTGAAGCACCAGAAGCACTATGAGAAGAAGATAAAATATTTAATACTTGGAGGATAAAGTGTCATACTAATCAAGAAAATAAAAGTATATGCATGCAAGTTACATGCAATTGGAGTTATTGGTGGCCAGAACTTCAAGCTTAAAATGATAGATTCTTAGTTATGGAGGCCATGTAGAGGTTATTTGCATCTCTCTAGGTGGGTGTAAAAGTCAACTTGAGAACTTATCATTCTATCACATTAGACTTAATTAGTAGCATAATCTGTCATAGTTGTATATTTTAAGATATATGTTTTTAATCTTATATGCATGCAAGTTACATGAAATTGGAGTTATTGTTGGCCAGAACTGAAAGCTTAAAATGTTAGATTCTTAGTTATGGAGGCCATGTTGAGGTTATTTGCATCTCTCTAGATGGGTGTAAAAGTCAACCTGAGAACTTATCATTCTATCACATTAGACTTAATTAGTAGTATAATCTGGCATAGTTGTATATTTTAAGATATATGTTTTTAATCTTATTGAACAGACTTGTTCGCTCCTACCTGCTACATTATGGCTATGAAGATACACTCAATTCATTTGATTTGGCTAGTAAAAGCACTATCCCTCCTATCTATATAGCTCAAGAAAATGGCTTTGATGAGCAGGATATTGTGTATGCTCTAAATCAGAGAAAGACTCTACGGCAGGTATGTAATTGTTTGACTTCACATTTTTATATTACGGTTATAAGTTAGTTATCATGCAATTGTCTTTTGGAGGTGCTATTCCATTCATTCTTCTGATAATGGAATTTGGATACCAAGTTTTTGTATTCTGAGTTTGTAGTTTAGGGAATCTTATGTTCTTCTGTGATGTAGCCTATTTCATACATGTGGTTGGAAAGGAATGAGGAAGTCTGGATGAGCTATTTTGTTGGAAATTGGTAATGAAGAAGGCTTGAGATACACGGCTGAGCCTGAGGTGTTTGAACTCAGGGTATTAACTGGAACTCTTCCATCACTAGGGGTCATGCATATGGATCTCAGTTTTCATACATGTTTGCACTAGTGAACTTGGGTTATAATCTATGAAGCGCCCACATGGTAGTTACCTCCGCATATGGGTGTCAGATATGTGTCCGACACGGAAACTTGTACGACATGGCAAAATATGCATCTGATATGCTGGGACACAAAAAAATTTTTAAAAAAATTGAACACAGTCATGATACGGTGACGATAAGCCTAGACATGGTGACTATGGTTACCACTTAGTAGATTTGCTTCCCTATACTCATGAACCGGAAGAAGATTTGCTTGCCCCATCTTGCATGCCTTTACGCAGGCCACTGAGGAAGCTCGACCATGAGTCTTGTGAGATTTCAGAATAAGGCTACCGAATAAAGTGGATGATAGAAGAATGCTACAACAGAGATGATAAGAAACGAGAACGCAGCCATATAAAGGAAAGTAGAACCAGAAACAAAAAGAGAATACTGGCTGTAGAAAACTAAGACTATAAGAGGAGAGACTTAGTGAGTAGTGACACTTAGGGTTTCTATTAAAAATGCAATTGGGCTTAAAAAGGTTAAAAGTTGGGCTTATTCCATAATTATGACAATTGGGCTTACAAGTTAAGAATTATACTTTATTCTAATAACAATTATAATTGGATTTCCAAAGAGTTAAGAATTGAACTTATTTCCATAAACAAATGTAGTTAAAGAGTGATATTTATTATATATGTACGTTGAATATTTTACATAAAATATATATAAAATATTTTTTATTGCTGTGTCATGCTGTAATCGTGTCCTCACATTTTAGAAATTGGCATGTTGCCATGTAATGTCGTACCCGTATTACGTGTCATGTCCATGCTTCATAGGTTATAATTATTAATTAACTTTTTATTGATAAAGAGAAATATGAAGAACCCAAAGTTCACATCTTCTGCTAAGCCTATATGGTATGTGAACTTTTTCTTTTACAACCTTAGAGGTGTAGTTGATGTTAAAAATTATAAAGTAACCACCAAGCTATAAAGAGCTGTGTTGGTTTAAGCTTTGGACACTAACTTGGAAGAATGGTTCTTCCTCTGTTCTTGGAGCTCTCCAAGGGTTCTAATTCTCTATATCGATCAAGTTCAGTTCTCTTTTCTTTTTTTTGTTTTTTTTGGGATAAGTATATTCTCTTGTTTCCTTTCCTTATTACATGAAAACCTAAGCAAGCTTCCTTCCAACCTGGTTTCTTTTTTAAGACTGTCAGTTTTGCTTGCTACTTTTTCATTGCCTTGTTTCTTATACTGATTTAACTTGCCCTTTCTTCAATAATAGTTTTGATGCCAGTTTCTTGGTGAATTACTTTTGATTTCCACCAGACATAGATGCCATATGAACTAGACTATTAAATGGTGATAATATAATATTATTGAGCATGTCAGATTTCAAAACAATGAAAAAACTTAGATTGAGATAAGAAAGCTTGAAAGCTCCAGATGATGATACTGCATGGTAGTTGATGCCAATCTTCAAGGTGTATATTTCAGTTGCTACGGGTGGGAAGAACAGATAAGTGGATGATGGTTGAGCTAATCACTATTCTTTTTGTTCTGATATAGAAAACAACTATATTGACACATGATTGATATATCTAAGTTTCAAAACCGTTTGAAATAATTGTAAAATAGGTGGGAAGAACATGATAAGTGTATTCTGATTATTATTACTATTTCAATGATGTGGATTATAAATGTACAAATTATTAATCTTGAGGACATGAAGCAAGCTAGTGTGATTGTAATGTTCACTTGAATGTAGTAACAAGGGTTCGTTCTCCAATCTGAATTTTTCTGCTACTGGAGTTCTCTGGAGCCATTTGGTGCACTTTTCTCTGACATTCTTTCAGGTTTAATTTCCTTTCCGTGGATCTGATCCTCCTGCGTTTATCAGTTACTGTCTTTCCTTGCCCTTCATCTCTTCCATTGACCATCTCTTACTCCCTTGATCTGTCTCTTTTTTCTTCCGTTTCCCTCTTTCTAATCCATTCTACTCTGTAACCTCCGATCCCCACCTTTGGTTTCCTGTCATCTTTGCTGTCTGCTTTCTTCTTTCCCAGGATAAAATGAAAAAGGAAAAAGGAAAAAAGAAAGGAAAAATTTGAGGTTTTCCTGTGGATTATCTGTCTGGTGGATGGTTCCGTCAAGTCAACATCATCATCCTTCATTCATTGTGTTTTAGGTTATGAGGGTCTTATAATGCTGTAGTTTTTAGTCTCTGGTAATTTGGATGTAAGCTACTGTTTCATAAGGATGGGCGTTCCCATTTTGTGTAAATAGCATATGGCATATGTATGGCTTTATGTTTATAAACTCAAATTATTTTTGTTGTCCCGAGGCCCCCGAAAAAAAGTAGCAAGAGCCAACTAATGAATATTTATTTTCTGCTGTTTCAATTGCCCACTAATCAGTGATGATATGTGATATTCACTTCGGTTAGCACATTCAAGTTATTTTCTCTTTTCTTCCCTCAAGATTATCTAGTTTTTTATCGATAAGACTATCTAATTTTGATATTTGGTACTTATATTCCATTATGCTTTCCCTTGATCCCTTTTTTTCAGCTATTGCTGTTCTAGTTAAATTAGTGATTATTGTACTTTTCTTGCCAATGAAGCTGATCAGGAATGGCGAGATTGATGCAGCAATTAGCAAACTTCATAATTGGTATCCCCAGATTGTTCAGGTGTGTACACATTTCAATATTGTCTACTGTTTTGAACATGCTTTACAGATTGACTGTCATAAGAGGATTAAAGTATGCTGTAAATGAATTTGCAATGTTAAGGCATTTATGTTTTCCATTAACATCATTCTAGAACTTCATTGTTTTGTTCTGTTAAAGCATTTCTTTTTTCTTTTCTCTCCCTGAATTCTTTCTTTTCAGGTTCCATCAATTTTTGGCTTCATTTTATTCTATTTGTTTTTTAATCTAATCTATGGCCATTGGGAACTTAAGGAGTGCCCTGCATGGGATTATATGGATTTTAATGAGAAGGGCTTCCTTTGTTGATATCAAATCTGACTTGCATTCTTGCTTTTTACTTTAATAATTCTTTTGTATCCTTCTCTCTCTCTCTCTCTTTCTGTTTACCCTTCTGTGCATCTTTTATGGTACTTTATTTACTTGTATGGATAATTGATAATATATAGATAGCCGCTGATGTGAATGAATAGGGTTTCTTTAGGGAAAATAGAAAGAAAACACTTCTTCTGTCCATGTTGGGATGGAATTTGAACAGGCTTAGTTGCTTGAGCAGTGCTTAGAATAGGTATGTTTAAACTGGGTCAGGTTAGCCAGGGATACAGCAGAATATGTTAACATTCATGCCATTACATCCCTGGAAGAGAAAAGAGGGGAGAATTACACATTATTCTACATTTCATGGGAAAAGTTACATTAAAAACTCCTAATACTCTCCTCAACTTGCCTGGATATTAGTCACAACATTTATGATTTTCCATGTCTTGTGATTGCTCTCTACTAATGTATGTTACATTAGTTACAAAATTCTGGTTTCATCTCACTCATAAACTTTAAAGTGTTAAAAAACCGTGGAGGAATGGATTTAGTTGTGTTGAGGCAAGATTTTATTTCTGCTTGTTCATTATTCCATGAACTTGGATTAATGCGTTATCATTCAGTTATGGCTATTTACATGCTACATGCAGGATGACAAATCAGCTACATGCTTTCTGCTGCACTGCCAAAAGTTTATTGAATTGGTTCGGGTACATATTCTTTCCTGTATATAGTTTGTTTAGTGATACGTATTTTTATTTTTACGAAAAGGCATTGATTACAGAAAAATACTGATTCATCATGTTTTAACATTGAATTGGAAAATAGTGTACTGGATATACATTGTTATCTATTTCAATCTTGTGACTTCTAGCCTAAATTCTAGTTTTCATAGGTTAGGAGACATATTCTGAATAGAAAGCTACAAGAAATTCCAAACTTAAATGATTTGGTATAACACTACTTAACACTCCTGACCCCCCTCTAGGCTTGATACCAACCATTAAAACTAATAATCTTATCACGTGGACAACAATTGCAGACCAACAAACTACAAACAACAAATAACAAAACAAATGGGCAAAGAAACAACCTTAAATTCTGACATCATATCAAATTTTTGGTGAACTTCGAACTTGAAATTAATCGGGAATTAGGTAGGATGTCTATAATAAAATTTGACATTGTATCAGCACAGGTGTGGTGGTTCTGTTGTTAACCTCACATGACAGGCTTCTTATTCTTTTCTATGAAGTATATACGTCAAGGTAGGTTAATTGTAATTGATGATTAAAGTAAATCCTTACATTGATATGCTTGGAGTACCTTGAGTTCTTAAATATAAAAGGGGCCTCTACCACTGTCAATTAGTTTTAGAATAGATGCCTATGATAAAAATTTGACAGCTTATACTTGCTTGTGTAAAAACATTGCATTGCTTCCTTGTTCTAGTTTCACTAGGAAGCCTAAAGAAGTTGTACACATATTGCAAAATAATGGTAGCATGGGTAGTAAATATTACACAGCCACACACCAACCAAATCTGAAAGAAAAAGTAAAAGTGAAAGAAAAAACTCATGTTTATGACCTTTGAACTTTGATTCCTGAATTACATAGTTTTTCCTTTTATGTTTATGATGCTATATCAGTATCAGATGGTTGATGCATATCTGTTTGTCTATTGAGATGTATGTGTACTTGTTTGTAGGTTGGAGCACTGGAAGAGGCCGTTAAGTATGGAAGGATTGAATTGGCAAAATTTTTTGGGCTGGCTGGATTTGATGATTTAGTGCAGGTAGTAAGAAAATTCTTTTCTTAAACTCTCTTTTGTCTATTAAGCTTGCTTTTGGAATGTGTGAGATGACAAACATTATGTCAGGGATGCGCCTAGTATTTGAATTTTCTTATATTTTTAGCTTATGTTAATGCAGTTGGACATGTCCTAGTTCACCATAACTGCAAATAAGAGCTGATATAATTTGTTCTGTTTTAGTGCATATTTTAAGAAAATTAAGAATACAACTCTTTGTCTTCTCCCCTTGTATGTGTTTTTAGACAATCGTGTTAAGCAGTTTGTCTGGTGTGCATGTATACTTTCATGTATCTAATTCTCTGTGCAAGAGTGCATGTGAGGAAGGGGGAACGTGGAGTAACTTGCTTTCCTTGTTTTACAGTTTTCTAGCCTGCTTTAATTCTTTCTTTCTCATGGTGTAATGTTTCTTTCAGCTGAGAAATTCGAGCGAGATCGTTATGTATTTCAGTCGCACCAAAATTTAATATTTTAGTTGGTTTTTCTGTTAGGACTGTGTTGCTTTGCTGGCATATGAACGTCCACAGGAGTCCTCTGTTGGATATCTGCTCGAAGAGTCACAACGTGATGTTGTGGCAGACACAGTTAATGCTATGATCTTATCAACAAATCCCAATATGAAAGATATGAAAGGCTGCTTGCAATCTTATCTTGAGAGACTACTCAGACAGCTAACTGCTTGCAGTTTGGAGAGAAGGTCAGCAAATGGGGATCAGGGTGAAGCATTCCATTTGCATCAGGTTCTTACCATTGGTAGAGACATGAAGTGCTAGCTGATATATGTAAATTGCACTTTTCATCCTTTTCTATCCACATCACTAATAGATTTTTCCCTATTACCCTTTTCAATTTACAAGTGATTGGATTGGCCCGAGTGTCTGCTATACAGAGTAGAGCACCCCTTTAGGGTTCCAAACAAAAAATAATTCTACATTTTCTCTGAAGATGGGGTGTTTCTTCATATGCTTGTAAGCTTTTGTTTCACAAACTTGTCCCTAAATTGAAAATTTTCAAATTGGCTGGATGCGGATTCCATTGTGAACAGTCTTGATAATGTTTACTTGTTCCTCTACTCTTGCATTTTTGTTACTTTACTCTGTGGAAGGCTGCACTAAATTTTGATACAAGCTTCTGGTGGGTTGAGCTTTGCTGACTCTTTGAGATTGGTTGTCGTTTTGGGATGAAATCTTGCATCTTGTATGCTCATTTTGGTAGGTTGGTTGGTTATGGTGTAGAGGCATTTGTCAAATTGTCAATCCTGTCAACGCTGCACTTAGGAACGGTCCTTTTGTTGCTTTATCTCGTTGGGATTATGTTTTGATGTTCATCGGATGCGGGGTGCTAAGTTTGGGATTATGTCCCTGTAGGTGACTTCGATCAATTATGAGTCGATTTGCCTGCAAACGACATATTTGGTTATCATGCAAATCTGTGCAAAACGCCATGGACAGACTTTTGGCTTTGGAAACATGTGTTAGCTTTAGCCTTCTTTATGCTGGATAATAAGCCTGGAATCGCTCATTGCTCGCATGTCCTTATGGTCGGTAAAAATAACGAGGAATGAGATCTGAACTTCCTCAAGTAGCGCATCACTTTGCTTTTTGCCCCAGCACTGAACTACGGCATTCTCCAATCTATGTTGAGACATTGTCATCAACCTTCTGATATGTAATGTTTTTTTCTTCAACTATGATAACAAATGCCATTCGTATCCTAAATTGGTCGTTAAATTAAACCAAACAGTGACTACAAATAAAGAAATAGTTTTTGTAAAAAAAAAAAGAAAAAGAATTTATAATGTATTCTCATTCATTTTCGCCAGAAAATTAAGCACCCAAGATCAAACATTCATTTGCTTGACATTACTTTGAAAAGGTGTCTGGTATGGCTAAGCAGATTCATAAAGCTAGAATTTGTAGCAGTGCATTTGCATTCATTTACGGCAGAGAATTAATACCCAAAATTAAACATTCATTTGTTTGACATTCATAAGATAGTTGAAACAGATGCCTCTAATTTGGAGGCAACTTAACAATTACACCAATCAACCACATTATAATGGATTCGAGCATCCAACAAATGAGAAAGAAATAAAATAATATGTAATTTGAATTTTTAATTATATCACTTTTCATGATTCAGTATTTATAAAAAAAATTCATGATTTGATGCTCCAACTTCATTCTATTAAGTTTTTTTTTGCAGAATATCAACTCTATTAATAATTTAATCTCATTTGTCATCATTTTGTTATAAACAATTTGATCTAAATGAGATATTATATTCATAAATAATTTCAAGAGTTTGTCAATGATTATGTTAGATGACGTGACAACATGTGTCATTTGACAAATGACATGATAATAACATGTTAAAATACCATTAGTTTCTAATAGTTTGATGACAAAAAAAAAAAAAATCATAAACATTAGTGATTAAATCCTAATTTTTCATAATTTGATGACCAAAATTAAAAAAAAATGCTTAAAATTAAATGATTAAATGTGTAACGTACTCTTTTATACGAGTTATCATATGAAAACTTACTCCACACAATTTTTTTAGATAAGATGGAAAAGAAAAATAGGAAAAAAATTAATTCTAAAATTTCATTTGTTTTGTGAAAATTAATTTCTCCGAACATTGATTTTTTGCATTCGTTTTCCTTAATAAAAAATAATGATTTGATGATAAAAAAATAGAGAAAATTTGGAAATTATCTTTTCATTCAAAGGTTGAATTATAAAATAATAATAAATATAAAACTTAACCATTAAATTAATTATGTTTTGTCCATTTTACCTAGCTAGCTCCGAATTGAGTTGGACAAACTTTTTTTTTTATTTTATTTTTTGAAAGAAAATAAACTTTGAAAAAGGGAAATTTTAATATGCTTTTGAAATAGGC